GAGAGAAAAAAGCATGTTACAATTCACATAAACAGCTGGTCTAGCCATATGCGCCCTTTTGATAGGGGGTTTCATAGCTGTTTAGTTTTTTGTCTTTAGGTTCATTTAGATATTTAATAGAGTACCACTTACATTGAATAGCAAAACAAATTCGGATTTATTTGAATAAAATAATTTTTAAAAGTAAAAGCATAAAGTAATTTTTTAATGACACTAATGGAGTTTTGATATCCCGGTAAGTGATTTTGCTTTATTTTTCCATATTTTAAAGGTGTACTTCCAATAATTAACATAAATTTGTATGTAGAATGAACATCAACTACGAGCTAGAACGTTTATAAATTTGATATCTTTATAATTGACATTTAACTGGTCAAAATTGGTCCGACTTGTGACTGGTACGCGACCGGTTTAAATTGACCGTGGTTTTAATACCAAATTAATAGTTTAAGTCGCGTTTTATTAATAAATATTTTTTAAGATGTTTCCATGGAGTTAAGAGACAAAATGGACCACAGTGGTTGAAATTAGCCCGTAATCTCTTAGAATGAGGATATGCCGTTTAAGTTAGAGTGCGCTTTTACATGTAGCTTTCACTATAATATGTTTGTCGTTTATCTAGTATCAGTATCAATAGAAAGATTAAGATATTTTTCTTTTAAAAGATAATTTCAAATTATTTGCTTAAGTGATGATCAATTATGTATGAAAAAAATCATTTTAACAAGAAATATTACATAAATCTTATATGAGCCGCGTCACGACAAAACCAACATAGTGCGTTTGCGACCAGCATGGATCCAGACCAGCCTGCGCATCCGCGCAGTCTGATCAGGATCCATGCTATTCGCTTACAAACTCTATTACAAGTAGAGAAACTGACAGCGATATATTTTTTGTGTATAAAATGAACTGAATATGTTGTCTTCATTATTATAGTAGCCTGCGTAAACCTTTTCATAGATTCCTTTGACTGACCTTATAAACGAGGTCGTCAGAGCCTTTAAGGTATTTTAACTTAAAATTTTTTAAGAAAGAAAGAAAAAATACGTTTGTTAAATTGCTTGATAAAATCAGAAAATTACAATGTTAAATTAAGACGTAGTGTGCCATATCTTAATGGAGTTTCATTTTCATTGACGGTAAAAGTGATTTATTAGTCCCAGTTAGTTTTTCAGACACATTTTCAAAATATTTTGCATATATTTTAGTACTGTACAACGGCAAATTCATCTTTATATCCGTTTTTTTGTAAACCCCTTTTTCAAATTTAAATTGAATATACTGTTTAGACATTTGTTTTGTCAATATTACGTTTTTTTATAAATAAAATAAAATAGATAAATAAATCAACAACACATTAATGGGTGGGTGAATCTTTATACGAAGATAATTTTCAAACAAACTAAAAGAATGATATATTATATCATTTGAATACCTAAATAACCAGCTATTAAAAATCCTTAAACATAAGAATAATAAATCCTTGTACCAACATTCTAGTCGTTTGTGTTTTTTAAAAAGAAAAAAAGCAGAAAAAACAAGCAACAATAATAGTCTGGTATTTTAATTTTAAAAAAGTAAATGAAAAAAACTATTTGGGACTTTTTTTATTGTTTGTAAATAATTGATTTTACTTTATCAAGATGAACTGCAAATTTAATTCAAATGTTGCTCCCTTTCTTTACAGATGAATGCGGTTGACAATTATTACAATCATTTTTATGCGATTTTTTAAGAGGTTAAAACAGTTTTCACATAATTATTACTTCATACGATCACAAAAAAATTGGCAAATTTTTAAAATTTAAGTAAACCGTTAGTAACGCTAAGAATATCAAAAAAAAATATCTATATAATCAATATGAAATATCAACAACCCGATGTCCTCTATAATTTTCTATCAAATATAATATACTTATATTTCATTTCAGTTTTTTTTTTCACATGTAAAGCATTACAGTTTTTTCTCCGTGTAACACAAATCCATGCAAAATAATTCTAAAAACGTATGTGGTTATTCTTTGTGACAATAATCATTTTGTTGATTAACAGAAATGTTATTACAGTCGAAACTCGTTCGCTCGAACTGAAGGGACCAGAGATCAGGTTCGAGATTTCGAGCGATCGGTGTTCGAGCGATCCGAGGTAGAACAATATATATTCAATAGGAATTTTGCCAGGACTGGAGTTCGAGCGAAGGGAGGTATTCGAGCGTTCCGAGTTCGAGCGAACGAAATTTAACTGTATTTACGTAATTTTATATTGGGTTTGTTAACGTCAGTCAAAAAGCGCCGTCTTCGTTTAGATCAATAAAGTAATAATGACGTCATGTTAAAAAACGGGCTTTGGTGGTCAGCTTTGACGTCGTGAGTACAAAAATTGGCTGAAACTATTTGGAAATAAAAAATCAACGGAATCTAATCAGAAATATGGTAAACCTTTTACAGACGCTACTCGAAAGTTCGCAAAGTGTCGCGTTCTACCTTAAATGATTTCTGATGACTTATAGGTCCATGGGACCGGTTGCATTGCCATTTTTTTTGTAGATATGTATTGCAGTAGATATGCTCATGTCACGACAACAAAATACTCACTCACTCGCTCACTCACTCGCTCACTCGCTCGCCCTCTCACTCACTCACTCACTCACTCACTCACTCACTCACTCACTCACTCACTCACTCACTCACTCACTCACTCACTCACTCACTCACTCACTCACTCACTCACTCACTCACTCACTCACTCACTCACTCACTCACTCACTCACTCACTCACTCACTCACTCACTCACTCACTCACACTCACTCACTCACTCACTCACTCACTCACTCACTCACTCACTCACTCACTCACTCACTCACTCACTCACTCACTCACTCACTCACTCACTCACTCACTCACTCACTCACTCACTCACTCACACTCACTCACTCACTCACTCACTCACTCACTCACTCACTCACTCACTCACTCACTCACTCACTCACTCACTCACTCACTCACTCCCTCACTCACTCACTCACTCACTCACTCACTCACTCACTCACTCACTCACTCACTCACTCACTCACTCACTCACAGTATTTTGGCCAAATCAAAGAAATTATACTATTTTGGACGAATACTTTTCTTTAAGCTAGTATAGGGATATTTATGCACTTTACGCAGAACTTATTTGACGACGTTATTCATTTTCGTTACTATTTAAATTGTAGGCAAGGTCGTAAATTACTCCACTTAATTAAGATTGAAAGTTATGTGCAAAATCTTAATTGTTATTGCCTCATTTCGCCATTTTATCACCTGTATTTGAATGAAGAGATAGGTTTTAATTGCCTCAATATTGCAAACGTTTCTGATTCTTAGTTTTAACTGATTGTAATGGTGAATAAATGACGCTGTGATCAAAATTGTATGTTTTATGTATTGATTAGATAATAAAATATCAACTGAGTCGGCATATTAGAGGACACCATCCGGTTGGGGCCAAATGTAGAGTGTTGGTATGTGGATCGAACGACCCTAGTTCGATTCTTGGACGGTGCCGGTCATATTCGTTGTGGTTTATCATGAAATTCTTTATACGGTCATTTGAACTTTAGCTCTTCTCTGGCATGTAAGAAGTTATTAGCTCCTTGCGAAAGAGAAGGCAACTGAAACTGGGAAAAAAACTGCTAGACAGCCTGCCCGAGAACAGTGCTGTGGCTGAATTGTGCTCTGGTGAATTCAAAGTGACTTACTGCCGTGATCAGGGGGATGGGGAGTGGGAGGGGGGTGGGGGCTTAATTACCATGCACTTAATATGTTTTGAATCTTTCATTTAACCCAAAACATATGACGCAATTGTTCAATCTGATCTAAAAGAATGTTACTGTTTTATGTGATCTTATTTTTAATTTAATTCACATTTATCATTCGTTTAAAGTACTGAATGTTTCAATCAAGGCCAGTGCTTTTCTCAGATTATTAGAGCTGCGATACAACATTAGAAATATTGAGTTCTTAATTTTGTGACATGAATGGAACTGAATTGACATCACGAACATAAACACACGTGGTAATGACTTAATCTAATATGTTGCTAGAACTTGTTACCCAACCCATTTCCTTTTCGTTATATACTCAGCATTAAATTTGTATAATATTCGACATGTATTTAATTCAATAAAAAATATTTAAACTAAAACATAAACGCACCCGCACACACACTTTATATATTCTTATATCTTCCAGCAACGATCGTTTGTTTTCACGTGCCGTTAATGTTGTGAAGATTGATCGCAAGTAAGGCGAGATTTTATAAGATTGATTAACAGTGGACTCAATCCAGACATTTTGAGCACGGCTGTATTGTCCTCTTATAATACTGTACAAAAATCCTCCTGTATTCTTTTAATTCTTGTTAAATTTGAATGATTGTCATGTTTTACGCTGACTTTGGAACAGTCCAGTTTTAGTTAAAGGGAATGCAGACAAGACCTGATACAAACAGTTAAGATTATTGTCAGACGACACGAATGAGCAGTGTGACCCGGATCTCCTGGCTGTCGCAGTATAAGTCCTTATTCTGTGCCTCTATCACCCAGAGTGCTGATTATCTCCCTGTAATTCGTAGGGAATAGTGGTCTTATGATTACATAGTATGACAAAAGGAACCAGTATTATCTGACATAAACTGCCAATATGTATCACAATTAAGTCTTATTTGAACTGTCCCTTTAAGCAGCGTGTCTCTAGCCCTGAGTGCGTTAGTCACGCAGTGGAAATATGGTGATACATACTGCAAATGAATTGATATAACATAAATATTATTTTTTGAATTGCGAATATTTTTTATTTCCTTAAAACCTAGGTATATCATTCTAAAGGATAGTTTTCTTGAAATAGTTTCAACTCATCTGGAGGCAAGCAGATTCCAAAAAAATGTAACAAATAATTTTTAGTTGTAAGATTGTTATCGCAACAATATATCATCATTATATTTGCACTTTTTATTAATTTCAGGGAAAAGTTAAAGCCAATCAGATTGACTTAAACAACAAATAGTGTTATTGAAGAGTGGAATATTTATGTCATAAGTAATGCATTCAATCAACTAAGCATGCAGGTAATACATAATCAAATACTCACATCTCTCAGCCATTGATAACAAATTAAAAACTTAACGTATTAGTTAGACATCAATTTCAAATAAATCGTTTTTTTTTCACGTGGTTTGGTCTATACTTTTTAGATAAAACATATTAATTTCTCAAAGAAAAAAGCTTGTACTCTCTCTCTTTGACCTACCTTTACAAGTTAGTTGATCTTTGTAAAAGAAAAAGTAGAAAAATGTACTAATTAAGACATATTTATCATTCAATGTGACAGTAATAGATTTTATATTGAAACGACATGTTGCAGGGATGTACTGTTCATTCGAGGGAAACAATTATGCTAAAGTTGTTTCATATCAAAAATTGTCATTTATCTCCCTTACATACATTTGATTAATGTGAGCATAACCATGCCAGATTGGAATCATTTTCGTGACTCAGGTAGAGTTCGAATCCATGAGCTTTTGTTTGGGGGACTTAGACCACGGCTACCGTTACCGTTATGATTGTCTTTTCATTTTCATCCAATTGAACGAAAGTAAAAATGAAATGTCGACCAAATACACGAATGTATGTGTTTTTTTTTCATATATTACGTTGTTATTGTAAAATTGTCATAAAATAGATAAAAGTACTGAAAACCAATGTCTTAACCGAAATGACTTGTTTAATTTAAATATATGTATCAGAGAAATTTTGATTAAAAATATTCGATAGTCAGAGATGTATATTTAAGAAAAATTATTTTCTTGCTATAAGAGAAATTTGTATCTTTTATCTTAAAAATAGTTTTTGAATTTCAGATTACACCATGTGGACATATCTTTGGTTTAATTTTATTATGTATCACGTGCAATGCAAAGGTGGAAAGAGAGAAGACATATACTATAAATGGTTTATTAGCAGATGTAATAGATGTTGATCTACGATCAGAAATACCGGTATAGTAGATCTATGTTTACTTATATAATACCCAATAAATTCAACCAAAATTTGTACTTTTTGTGTTATAATTTGACGAATGTTTTTTTTATATATCAGAATTTCAGAATATTTAGAATTTTATTTATGTTAATTTAACTTTAACGTTATTCTATACCTATAAATTTTATCCTTATATCACCGACTTTAATTTGTAATTAAAGTCTGTGCTTATAAACATGCACATTATATTAAAGCGCTTATATAGAAAATCCGTATTATGTTCATGACAAAAACGGTACCTTATATGGAAGTGCCGGACTATTTTTCTCCGTTGGTTCCAGTCTTAATTGTATTTAGAAAAGGTAACTGAGGCTTCTAAGGGCGTGGCCTCTTTTCGTAAAATGATTTATTCATTCGTTATTCATGTATATCATTTCTTGACAGCTACATTTTTGATTGTGAAATAACAAATAGAAGTTCAGTGAATTGAATATCTTTTTGTCTAAAAATGTGTAGGTAAATTATATTGTAGTTGCTTCCTGAGGTCACGTATTTTGCTACACACAGCTTCGGTCTCGCAAGATAAAAAAATTTCAGACGCATAAATTAAGAACGTGAACATGGATGGAAAAATAACAACTTTCTTTATCATCATCCATTCATTTTCTAATCTTAATTTGAATAAACTGCATGAATTATTATTTTTATCTCCATGGAGGTATTGGTACTATAAAAATGCCCCTACCAAAAATATTACCTACAAAATATTACAAAATATTACCTACCAAACATATTATAAAGAAATCGTATTTCTACCAATACTAGTATAACGATATTTCTGTAAAAATACCGAAATTTTCATGAATATACCAATATTTCAAGGTCAGCATCAGTAAACTATATCTTTTTTTTTAAATATCGCAGCAACTGATATAAAGACTCGTAAAAGTATCCGTCCGAAAGAAAGGATTCAGTATCAGCCGTTTCTTTTTTTCTCGTGCATTTTTCCAAACAAATTACTTTCAAAGAGCTGGGGTAACATTTTTCTTTTAGATTTTTTAAGTTTTCTGCAAAATGAAAAAAAGAAAGCACAGAAGTTTGTTATGTATATTTTTCTTTATATTATGCAGGGGCAGATAACTTGGATATTGACAGATGACCACAACTTTAGATTAAAAGTGAATATTGCCGGGGAAAACGAAGAGGATATTAACACCGTTGACATCAATTTAACGAATACTAGCTCCTCTGTGAAACTTCTAGTGAGAGAAAAACACTTTTCTATTGCGCCTGCGCCGGTTACAGGAACCGGAAATGTAGTAACAATACCAGCATTCCTTGTATGGCTTCTCGCGTTAATGATTAGCTGGAATAACCCAATGCCAATCATGTTGATGGTAGCAGTGTACGGGTTTACTCCAGGAACAGCAGAAACTACATATGGCTTTTCAAAGAAAAGTGTGGACATAGAAGTGAAAGCCCCAAGGTACAAACATAGTTATCAAACATAAAACAGTGACTTTTGTAAAAAAAAACGTCAACAAATGCTTAAAAAGAAATTTAAGGCTTCATAGATTGTCTATACTTTATCTATTTATTAGTTGATATGTCATTTTAATCCGTTGCGACACTTGTGTTTTTGCAATTTAATGCAAATGAATTTGTCAAAGCCAAACGTCTATATTAAAATCCCCCTGTCGGCCATATATATACAAAAATATAAATCAAAACATTTGCAAATACAAACGTGCTTTCTAGACAGATAAGATATTGCTTTCGACTCAACATTCAACTAAATAAACATGCTTGTATAATTATTATCTAAAAATACACAAAAACTTCAAAATCAAAGAAAGGTCATGACGTGACAAATTAGTTCTGCAGAAAATTTGAAATTTATAAGAAGCTGTGAAACGTTTTATGATACAATTTCATACTGGGAATATAGCGTGAGTTATTACTCTGGATTCATTTTAATTAACTTTGTTAGCTAGAAAAACGTGCATTATTGAAAGTTTAGTTCTTATGCTACAATATTCAACCGATTTATTTATTTTCTTATTGCAGACGATTTTCTTACAATGCTGTTAGTTTAACTATAAATGGCGGGAAATTGCGCGTGGTAAATTGGGAGAAAGAGACAACCAAGGAACTTACATGCAAAACAGAAGCTACATCAGAAAATGGTACAGTCAATAAATTGATTTTAATAATATCATTCTATATTATATCATTCTATATAATATCATTATACACTTATAAGTGTGTCGTTAAGATTTAAAAATACACCTCTGACTGCATTTATTGCCTGTGTGTAGGCTAGTATAAGCTGAATAATGTTTTTTTGTATTGCAGGATGTTCAGATTGTTGTCATGGGAACGGAGTCTGTGTACGAAATAAATGTATCTGTGATGCAAATTACGACGAAATGTCAAATTGTGGTAAGTCAACTTGTTTTGAAGAAAGAATCTATGTAAACATGATTTTATGCACGAAAATGCCTACTGGCATTTAGGCAAGAACTTCATATTTCAATATCTGTTCAGTGAACAGTATTTACGTTAACATCACAAAAATACCCTTTAGATTGAGCAAAGTTTCAGTTTGTATACCATGAAGGTTTTTTCCATTTCAACCGAAATCTGGACAAATGCATTGCTCTAATGCCCAGTAATATATCGATACTCTTCAGGGAATCATATCAATGTCATAATTATCTATTTTCTTCCAAAAACAAAATGTAAAAAAAATATATTAAGTAAAAAAATAAAACATGTCAAAAAACAACAATTTTCCACCAAAATTAGGTGTTAGGGCACGTGTTAACATGGAAAAACTAGTTTTTAGGTAATTCCAAGGTTTTTCATCATTTTTTGTTAAAAAAAATCGTTTTTTCTCAAAATATCACACCTGTTGCATTTAAAACTGTTTTTGCCATTTCAGCCACAAGTGTTACAGAGTCTATCCTCTTTTCACACCCACTAGATCCAAGATTTGATCGTACACATCTTCCAAACAAAGATGTTGTGACACTTGGGCGCGTTTTTCAATTCATCCAACATGAGACTTACTTAAAAGATCCAGATAAATATGCACTGGAGATAAATTCTGAGGATCTCATGTTTCCTCAAATTTTGATTATTTTTCATTCTAATGGATTCATTGAAAAGATCATAGATACTAAAACAGTGAAGGGAAATACAATGAAATTCAAAAAGTCAAGACTGAATCCGTGTGTAATCCGTCTGAAAGGAAGACTCGTTGATAGAGAGATTAATGTTTGTGGTACGAATAATTCAGTTGATGGTGCGAAATATATTGAGAACGAAATTACCTCAAAGGAGAATGAAGAGCGGGAAAGTTTAAGAGATAAAAACAATGACAAGGGAAACATGAAAAAGAAAAGAAGACACAAACACGCGTTAAGTTCCGAGAACAACTTTAATTTTCTTGAATTGCCTGTAAGAATACACCGCTGTGGATATAACTCCAAGCAAAGAAAGTTTGTGTTTTTTAAGATTTTTAAAGATAAAATGGACTCCTATCACGACAACATCTCTCGGATAAAAAGTAACATTTCCCATGGGGCGAATGAAAATATATATTTACTGTCTCACAAAACATTACACGAAACTGAAAGCTTGCGTATACCAGATCAATCCGTTCCATTGGGGATAGAAAAAGTGACACAAAAGTGTGAGCTTACTAAATATTACCAAAGAAAAATATGTTCCACTTCAAATTTAGAAAGTATGAGGACTATCTGCGATGATTTATGGAACAATGTCAGCCAAAATAACACAACGCCCCCGCAATTTTCCAAAACTATTCATTTATGTACGTACGTACTAAACAAAGTGTCAACTTATTGTGATAAACATATATCATTAGTATTAACACCACACAAATCTTGCTTGTCAAACTATGTGAACAATTTCAATTTATTCTCTAAAAGAATTTACCTCATTCAACCATTTGTCATTTTCCCAGACGATAAATTAATTTCGGGGCAAGTGCAACATGTCAGTTTCGGCAACAAAAGTCAATCTAACCTTCAGAACAAGGAATTAGTTATAACAGATAACAATTCAGAATTTAAAATTGTTAAAATCTCCGTTATTCCCACAGATCCCGTGCCTCATGATATTTATCAAGTTCGTTTAGATTACGCGTGCGCAACTAGTGAAACTGCGATCAAAATGACAGTGTATGGTAGTGACTTTTACAGCAACAGTGTCACGTGTCGTGGGGTAACACATTGTAATTGTTGTATATTACACGCAGCAGGTGCCCCTAACGCTGTTGTAGATCGCGTGACTATCAACGTCACAGACCATTCTAGAAATTACGAACTGGTCCGAGAAATGGTTGTTGTGTTTTGATAATTTGGCTTCTAATTATCTTATAGCGCCTGGTATGCTCCACAGACTGAGAGCTTATGTTGGAAATGTCTCTATTATCTTGTATACAAATTTTTGAATTTATATCTACCGTATACAGCTGTAGGGAGTGATATTTCATTTTTTAAAAAAAGAAATCTTGTCTAAGTGAATGTATATATATATGATATATCGTTTGACTATTTCTTTGAACAAAATTACCTTTGCCATTGTATAAACCAAGTTTTTTTGTTTATATGAGTTCAGGTATTAATATTTTAATATTTTCATCAGTTTAAGAAGCGTTTCTGTAAATATGAAGTACTTATAGTTTTTCTTATTCCCTTTTGTTTAAATTTGTGTCATATTATTGTCGTATGTAACAAATGGTGCAATATTTCCCTTCAAGGGGTTGAAGTTTGTTGAAAATGAATGTATTATTTAAATGAAATGAATAAAAATGAAAAAAATTCTCAAACTTCTTATTGCCTTACCACGGCATGAGACCGTACACCATGGCTGTACGAATAAAACAAAGCAAATGTATGTATAGAAAAAGTGAATAAATTAGAACAAATCCGAATCCAAATTGTAAGCGTTGACAGCAAAACATAAAAGTAGTTCTAGATTGACATACATAATATTATAACATAAAAATAAGGCGTGTTGAAAATTAAAACCGCCCACTTTAGAAAACTTTGAAGAACAAAACCGTTATAAGAATTTCTCATTCTAAATGCACTGTTTATATATACGTTTTAATTTAATAACTAATACACCATACTATCTACAAGTTGAGCCATTCCTATCATTAGGAGGGTTTATCTAAACATGTATAAAATACCAGTTGTCCAAATGTTAATTCCATTAACAGGAAATGTTCAACAATAATAATTATGTTTTATTCGTCCGTCCCCTGGTAATTCTCTCTATTTTATAGACCAAACGTTGTTATATTAAGTGCTTCTTTGAGAATATAGATAATGTATCTATCGACATGTAACATAAATCAAACGACAGTAGATGATATGGGAAAGACAAAAAAGAGTCACGAAAACAGATGCTATCTTTCTTTTTTTCTCAAAGAAAACAATTAACTCTAAAAAGTGAATAATTGATTAAATGAATGAAAACAATTGCTTTTACATTGATTGTTATTATTCAGTTCCAAACATTAAAGGAAACGAAATTATCTTTAAAATATTCACCATTTCAGTTCAACTCTTACACAATAATTAAGTATATTTATATTGTTTACGTCCTAATTTTTTAATTTCATCCCACTGTATTCCACTTGGAACTCGGTGCATTATTTCAAATACCACTGAGGTAGCCATAATCATTACTAATCTTAAAGAAGTTATAGGTTATGCTTTCGTTTATAATTTCATACGTTTTTATTCATTTAAGATATACAATTTGCAGGGTCTTTCAAGTTTGAAAGACCCTGCAAATTGTAACCAATCATATTGCAATAAGAGATCATCTGGTATACTGAAAAAATGATTTATGAAACATATTACAGGAGTAACTTCAACAATCTTGAGTACCTTTAACTAGTAGTGAATAAAGGCGATGTACACGTATTAGATGAGTAATAATTCTGATTACCTTTAAACTAGCATGGGCATCTGAGAGGACTAGATCCATATAGAACAGTGAAACCAAAATGCATTTAAAAAGTCGGTACAATAAAGGAATATGAAATTTCATTCTTTACAAGGATTTTTAAATAAAATGGACTCTTGACAATATGAGGCGATTTTTGTGTAATTCTTATAATACAGATACAGTCTCAATTAAATCATGTTATCTCAAAAACTATACAATCTAGCAAATACGTAGCACAGATTTATTTTTATTGGACGCACCCTCCTCCTAGCCTACCACAATATTATCTTACATACCCATTATATTAGATTGTACAATGTGTCAGATTAGTGGATTGCTTGTACCAATTTGGATTTTCTTTGTACCATTTGACGTATCCAATGTAACTGTCCAAACTTTGCAATTATGCCAAAAACATTGGTTTGCAAAGGGATTAATCTAATGTCAAATTATAATGTCTTAAGCAGTAACTGAAAATAACATGCTTGGACATTTTTTTCTAGTGTGCGAGGGATACAAATATGGAGACATTTTTTCTGAGTTAATAAAATCAAAAACATTGGGATTAGATGGTTAAAACTGCATGCCTTTAGATGAGTCAAAATATTATTTCCAGAAAATCAAACTTAGGGAAAATGTAATAAGATTTAAAAAAAAATGTAAAAAGACTTTGCGGTATTTATCACCATACATGTATTTTACTGCGTGTCTAACGCAGTAAGGTTTTTTGCATATTTTGTTCTCTTTTGGTAATTTACGTGAATTGTACATGCCTTTGCAATGTGTCAATTACATTTTTGTTCACTTCACAATATTTTACTTTTAAATACACTTTCAAAAATTTCATGTAAATTAGCATCAGAAGGCATGCTGATTTAATGCGTGCGTCTAACTTAAACCGATGGCGTCACATGGCGAAACATCAAGGCGATAAATATTAATGCATACGGTTTTGAATCCATTTTAGTCTTATTTAACCTTAACATTAAAATAATAATAAAATAACGATAAAATAAAGAAGAAATCTAAGATATCTGGTTTTCTCAGTTAATGCTTGTAATATATTTACATATTGACCTTTATAACATTCATATAACAAGTGAAAGTTAACAACTTATTACCACTATAAAATTGACAAGTGTTGCAATCGTTTTCTATTTGTATATATGGACAATAGCTTTTGTTAAATGATGTGGACGTCTTCTATAGATTGTATAGAGTAAAAAAGATATATTCTAAAAATGTTCAAGTTAAGAAATGTACTTAACAATCGATTTAGTAAAATGTTTACCATAAAGTTAACAGCTTTAAATGCTATTATGACCTTTATAAAATACGTTCAAAAGCGAATTGCAACTGTCTCTGCTGTCTTTCAAACATTTCAAGAAAACAAGGTAAAGTTATTCTTAAGATATGGCTCTCTCTGGAAATCAACTTTGTCTGTTGAAAATGTCAGATCACAACAAAAAAGCATGGTAAATTTTCACATTAAACAAGAATTGTACTGTTTGTTATGTAAAATACATTGTAAATACTTTATTGCTGTGAGGCAAAACTATATGAAAATAACACTACAACACAAATACCACGACCACCACCATCAACAACAATAAACAATAACATCAACACCAATCCAAAAATTAAGCAACCCCTTCCCCCAATAAATAAATAGATGTTTTGCAAAGAAAATACTTACTTCTAAAGTACTGATATACAAAATAAATCTTATGATTGTTTGTCAGAAAACATTTTGTCCGTTTTTAATAGTTGCTGGATTTCTCCGTTGAGAAATGATTCATTCTGATTTCAAGGCAACAACCTCAAAGTGGTAAACCATTGTATTTGCCGTGAGAGCTTATCTAAATACATTGAGACGTGGTTTTCCAAGTGAGAATAATATTAACAGACGATATTCAACATATCAAGATTATGTTTTATAGGTCTTGCGGGACTCTATGTCTAGAAGGTAAAACCATTTTGAATTGATTACAACTTTGGGGATATAAATATTATATAGATATATAAACAATATAGAAATACAGCATCACATGATAAAGAATAAAAACAATGTCGTCAAACAGCAATTGAAACATAAATGACTTATCGTTATTTTCTCAAAAGTGGCAAATGTGACTGTATATTCAATTATTTTCTTTGCAAACATACACCCTAATTGTTAATATGCACTTTTAAAAAATAATAAAAGTCTGATGTATATAACACAGCAAGAAGCTGAAACATACAATTTTTACAGTTGTTCATTATTTCAGTTCATGGTTTTTCTCTGATCCTTCGGGATAATTGATTCCAATACTTTTAAGAACAGAACATTAGTATTGAAATTGAGTACCGCTCTATCCGGTGCTAGGGGGAGTGAGCGATGTTGAACTTTTTCATTATCCCTCACGTACAGGCCCAATCAAATTGAGCCTGCAGTTTCCATGTAACTTTGCTGGGATAAATTCTTCCGAGGGATCATACTTTTTTTTTTATAAATGTGCTAATATTTACAATAAATACGCCTCTTCGGATGCATTATGTATTTTAGGGTGCTATAGATGCTCCATTAACTATACATGTACCAATATCTACTATCAACCAAACAGCTCAAACATATCATGAAAAAATGAACTAAGCTACTCATATTGCCTGTATTGTTTACAATATACAGATTGAGATTTAAACATATTTTGAAACAATAATTTCAATATCAAATCAGCAAGCAAATGAGATAGAATAAATCATTCATTAAAACATGTTGCTTTCTTATAAATTCATTGGCAACTTGTGAACAATTTAATAGCAATCATATTTCAATATTATAAAACGAAGCATAACGAAGAAACTCATTTTGCCTTTGCAAATATTGTATTTGTTCTAGAATTTCTAATAATGTAAAAGTTATTCTTGTGAAGCTAATCCTTCTCATTATTTGCTATGAATGCAGAACCATTTGATAAACAAGGGGACGGCGTAGTAAAATACATTACTGTTTAGGTTCCATGAAAAACATCAGTCAAGCAGTAAATTTAAGCAACAAACTTAATATAAATATGTTTAAACTAACTAATATACTGTTATACCGATATTTATATAATCACATTAATGAACTCATTGATTTAAAAAAGTACAAAATAAATATGAAGCTATCATATACATCACAATTTCCACTACAAATACACATTGGAGCGCTTTTTTACCGCATTGTTTTTGTTTCATTTATTGAGCGTTTTTTCACATTGTGTTTGTTTCATTTATTAATTTGTTTAATTTAATCTACATCTTGAGTCTGACAAGAAAGTTGTGTAGAGGTGGTTGTCTGTTGGAAATTATTCACAGACAAGAGACATGATCAAATATATCATACATAACATTGTATTTTAGACATTAGAGACACTAAACACATATGTTTACAAAATCCCTAGTTTGTATATCGTCTTTTTTACTTACGTCATTGATATCGTCTGAAGGAGTGTTTTGAACTCATTATACGTCTCAAGAAGCAAACAAATTTACTTAACCATCAATGTAATTAAACTTACAGTTTAGTATGTTAAAATGAACTTTCAAAATTCAATTTCGTTACTTTAAACTATTTTAGGAAAACCAAGTAAAATTAATTTTAATAAAAGGTTCCTTCGAGAAATTTAACTCGAATGTTGAAACAAGAAAACATCTTGAAAATGATATTAAACCGTGGTAAACAAAGTTTGATATTTTGCAACATTTCTTAGTGAGTTAAGTGGTATTTTA